GTGCAGCCATTTTGCCTGTGTTGTTGCATTGGCCAATACCCTATAAATTCTGATGAAGAAGCCTTGGTTGTTTCACACCTTTCCAGCCCCCGTCACTACCTAAAAGAAAAACTAAAAAAGACAAAAGTAAACTGCATTTGACAGTGATGAATGTATTTATTGAATTGTGATGAAATAGGAAAATTATCAGTATACGAAATTAAAAGAAGCATGGGTAACCATTTTTCAAGCCCAGAGGATTGAAGGCTGTAAGGCTTTTGAGCTAGCCCCTTTAAATTACTATTATATTACTATTATCATTAGTGGTATTATAATAGCTATAATATTATTTATTACCATTTAATTATTGGTTAAAGGTCAATTAGACAATTATATTCTTGAATCATCTTTCTCTTGTGGAACAGGGTACTCATAAACATATGGGATGTGGCAGGTTTTCCTTTTTTGCATGCAGGACATGACAGAATTGCAGAAGGGCAGAAAATGTTCCCGAATCCTAGAAGACAGAAAGGCAGTAAATTACCTCAAATTCTAAAAGACAGAAGGGTGGAAAATCACCCAAATCCTTAAAGATGAAACAGCAGAAAATCACCCTGAATCCTAAAAGACCAAATTAAATGGGGTAAAATTACCCTAAATCCTAAAAGATATAATAGTGGAAAATCACCCCAAATCCTAAAAGATGGAACTATGGTTACAGTATTATCCTGTAGTAAAATTAAAGGGTGGGGGGATAAGAACTGTAAACAAAAAACTTGTATCATGTCAACCAGGTGACAGAAATATCTTTTGTAGACCACATTCTTCAGTCGATAACTAAAACACAAAAGTCATGTCTCAAAAGTTATACTGACAAACAAAATTTTAATTTTATTATGGAAAGGACTATAGTCCCTAAAAGTGCAATTTTAGTCTCTATGGATGTAACCAGGCTATACATGAATATTCTGCAAAATGAAGGAATTTCCAACAAACATGCTTAGAGAAATGCACAGAATAATGTAATAATAATAAACATTAATTGAAGCTGCCCCATAGGGGCTTTTCAGCCACAGTGTAGGCTAACTGAGTGGCAGGGTAGGGGACTGGAACCTGGGACACTGGATTACAAGTCCAGCACCTTAACCACTTGGCCTTTGGTGTCTCCTAGATTTGTACTGAAGAAGAATTCCCTGGGAAGAACCATCTTCTAACGCATAGCACTGCTGTGAGAACAAAAATGGGGTTCTGTCCTCGTGTACCGGTTCACAAGAGCCAATACAAAAGACCAAACAATACACAATAGCTAACCGATGACTCCTAAACAAAGAAAGAACAATGGTAATTCCCTTGTGAACCGGTACACCAGGACAGAACCAAAAATGGTAGTTGTTTTGACCAACATATTTATGTTTAAAAGAAAATAGTTTGTGCAAGCTTCATCAAACCACTTGTGAGTGAGAGATACATTCTTGAAGCATTAACAGGTATCATCCTACCATTAGTTTCATGGCTGATATGTTTGAGGAAAATATTCAATTTCTAAATACTTCAATTTTAAACACTTGGTCAGCAGGGATTTGCTAAAGCAAAGGCATAGAAAAAACCAGGAAAGATTTATTACTCGACGTTTCGGGGTCATCGTGACTCCATTATCAAGAGACTAGTTTAAAAACATGCAAATAAGGAAAGGTACAAGAATAGCATAAATTAGACTGAACGGCTTAAACAAACACCTTGGCGCGGATGGAATCCGTTTGCACGTTCAGTGTTGGCTTACGCATGCGAATATACAACATTTCATTAACAAGGCAATCAAATTTGCCGTTACATTTCGTGATGACGTTGAATTGCTCGATCAAGCGTTCAGGCATTTCACTATTGTGCTGGAGGTGGTAGTGTTTGTAGATAGAAGATGATTTCCTTGATGTTGTATATTCGCATGCGTAAGCCAACACTGAACGTGCAAACGGATTCCATCCGCGCCAAGGTGTTTGTTTAAGCCGTTCAGTCTAATTTATGCTATTCTTGTACCTTTCCTTATTTGCATGTTTTTAAACTAGTCTCTTGATAATGGAGTCACGATGACCCCGAAACGTCGAGTAATAAATCTTTCCTGGTTTTTTCAATTTTAAAGGTGAAGGATTAAACAGGAATGTATCCTTGACATTTCAAACCTTTGAAACTTCTTGTTTGTTTCCTGTCATGCTCCAGTTGTGACAACATATTAATTGAAGGAAAAGCTTTCAAAGATCTAAGAACTAATTCTTCAAAAAATAATCTTTGAAGAGGACATCAGACCCTCCAAGTGGCAATTTCATGAAAGGGGTTATCTAAATGAACTAGTGGAAAGAATCCTCAAAAAGGTTGATTTCTCTAACAGGGAAAACACTCTAGGAGTGCAACTGGTATTAATTAATGAGAAGCAACCTAAGCTTGAGGAGACTTTTAGCTTCCAGTAGTTTTGCATAAAGACCTGCTCATCAGAGCAAAGGTTTGAAACTAACCTGACTAGGAAAGCAGCAGAGTGGTTTATAGGCCTGTCAACCCACCTAAGACCTTGATGATCACAGAAAATCATCTCAAACAAGCAGAATGGCCAACAACATGATGTTATGCATTACAAACAGAGATGATTTTTGGGTATTGATTTGATTTATGGAGAACTTGAGGGAAAAAAGGGGTGAGGAATTATCTCACTCACTTAATATGTAAATCACCAGAAAACCACTGTGATGTAGCAGTGGCGAATACAGGAATTGGGTGGGATGACTGTGTACTAATTATAGTTCGCTATATCTTTAAGGATTTGGAGTGACTTTTCATCATTCTGTCTTTACACACTTGGGTAATTTTTGCCAATTAGTGTTTTACGATTTGGGGTGATTTTCTGCTATTCTGTTGTTCTGGCTTTTAGAGTCACTTGATTCTTGATGCTAATCATTGTAATGAGCTGGGTGCTGAGTTTCTATATTTATTTAGTCTTTGATCCAGTAGACCAGAATATCTCATAGTCTAAACGGAGCATCCTTGCAGATTTGTATTCCACAAATTGGTAGTTACTAAAACATGGAACCACCCAAAACCACCCAAAATGAAAAAGGTCACACAAGCACACAAAGGCCTGGGAAAGTAGACTTGGCTACTGAGTTGAGCCTGGTTTCTAAGCAATTTCAGAAAGCAAATAATGTGCTTCCTGAATTCAATTCAGTGAATTGTGTCTTGCCACTTCTGCCCTTAGTCAGTGACATGTTTTTTTCTGAAGGGCTCGCTGGATTGCAGCACAATCGCAAGAAGTGCAGCTCATTAAAAACGTGTCTTTAACATGTATTCAGTGTTGTATTTTAGCACGTATCCTGCAGCAGAGGTTTTTTTCTACTCCCTTCCATGCTACGAGTAAAAGGAAAGTTGTCCTTTTCCTCGTTGAGTAGAAAAAACCTCTGCTTGCAGGGTATTAAGCACGTCGACATAACATTGATATGGGAGTAGAAGACATAAAATCCCACCATAAAAACACTAAAATACTTACTTGCCTTAGGTTGCAAAACGTTTTTAATTTTACTGGTGTTAAAATTTGAGTTTGCGTTCACTATGCGCCGATGTTTCTTGTATTCTCAGTTGTTAAAGTTCCTGTTAACGTCCAATTATCTGATCGTACCAGGGATATAAAAATGTTCAGTATGATTGGTAAACGAAGAGAACTTTAAGTGGATAATTTGAATATATCAACAAAGTTGAAATGGTAAATTGCATGGCCACCGTTATGATTATAAAAACTGACGTTTTGAGCGTTAGCCCTTCGCTCCAATGAAGGGCTAATGCTCAAAACGTCAGCTTTTATAATCGTAACAGTGGCCAATTTACCATTTCAACTTTGTTGATATATTCAGATTATTTCGTTACCCCCAACAACGCAACCCCAAACAGTTTCTTTAGAAACTATCAGCCTTTATTTAAGTGGATAAGGTTTGTGTCACTTTCAACTACGCTAAATGCCCTAATAGGCGTGAGGGGGACTTATTGGAGGGGGGAGGAAGGGCGAGCTGTTACGGTATTTTTGTTTCTGATGAAGGGAGAGCTCGTTATTTTTTAAAAAAACTAGCTCTAAAGGATCTACTTGAAATAACATCACTGCCACCAAAAGAGGACCGCTACACTAGTTAAGAGGCTTTTGGCCAAATGACAGATCAGGCTGTATGATAAAATTTATGTTTTGTCTATTTAATTGGCTCTAGAGGGAGAGCAAGTGAAGTAGCTAATATCAAGTAAAATTACAGCCTCTCATCCATAACAAGCCATTTCAACCCCACCAACAACAAAAAAAAGATTGTCCTTCTGAAAAAAAATTCTGCATTTATTTCGTGCTTTGGAACAAAAGCTACTGGTATGTACTAATATCTTACAGAATGTCAAATGCTACTGGTCAGAGTTTTTATGGCTGGATGGCATCATCAGCAGACTTTGGAGTGTCAAAATTGCAATTTTGAAACAAAATAGAACACGAACTAAAATTTGTATTCTAAGTTAATTTGAAAACTAAAACAGAACTTGAAATGAAAACATTTACAACTTGGGTTGTCAAATTAAGTGCTTTTTTTTTTTCAAACAAACGTATATTAAGCTTCTACTCCCAGCTTTGTCAGAGGTCCCCATTCTACATCACTCCATGGACAAAAACACATGGCGCAAAAATTTTTTTGGG